AAGAACATGGGCAGAAAGAGCCTAAAGACACCATAGATCTTCTGTTTTGATTCTGTCAAAACAGGTTCAACCTGATGCCTTGTACGCCTTGACAATGCATAATCTGATCCATCTAACCAGATATAGTTTAGATAGCTGGAGCCCTTGTCACTTCGGATGAAAGGAGATGAACAAAGAAGCCAATCTTCTTGTTGAATCGGTGCACTCAATATATATCTTTAGTACTCCAAAAGCATCCAGATTATGCCACAGCTTTTCTGCAGGATGCTGTGGATTTGGATGGAATCCTATGTGGCACGGAAAGATGAGTTCACTTTTGACGAGAAAGATTATGAGTTCCTTCATACCACTTTGTCATTATGAACGACTCAATAAGATTTATGCATCGATAAAGCTGCCAACTTCAAGACTCATCTAGAGGTCGTGATAGCAACCAAGAAACAGGTTTTGATAGATCTGTAGAAAGGTGAGGATCCATGTAAATGGTTTAAAAGGGTGCTTTGAGCACCAGTGGTAGGTCCCATTTGGGAACCAGTCTGACTGCTCTGAGAAATCCAAGTACTTGGATTCTCTTCCAAGGACATCAAATAAGACGCTACTTGTGGCCAACATCTGGCTGAATACTGTAGTGTTGAACTGCCCATCAAAACTACACACAGGAAGGGAATAGCTCATATGTATCAGAATTGGGGTTGATGCTGGACTGCAGAATCTGAGTGTCCACATGGATGGGGCAGCTATACTGATATCACTGTTAAAACTTTTTTGTGTACGTAGTCTCTAACTATTACTGTTGAGGAGAAACCTTCAAAATGAGAGCCTGAAACAACAGCTCTAGGGTGTGAACTGTCCCATTTATTTCAATGGGTGCTAACTCCTATGCTAATGAGGATACTTTGATTGTCAACATAGTTAATTATTTCACTGCTCTCCAAAGCATAAAGAAAAAGAAAGGGAGTAACTTGAAGGTCTATCTTAGCATTTCCCCAAAGTGCAAGATGCACCAAGACATAAGAAGGCAAATGCAGAAGGGTTATACATTACCAGAGGTAGGCCTTTAACACGATACGCCAGGACAGCAATGGGGGCACAACACATTTCATCTTCCTCAGGACTCAACTTTCAAAAATTTGGGAACTGCTGCATTATCCAATGACAGAGTAGCTAACTAAAATTAGCATTTTAACATCTTAAGTATCTTCTGGACCTATCTTCTACCACAAGAAATCAGAGAGAAAGAAGTACTAAACGCAGAGAAAACTCATGGACCAAAGTACCAAAAAATCCTGTCCACGTGAAATTGAAAAACCAGGAAGTTTTTTGACAAATACTTATCTTCTTAACTTCTAACAGATTGTACTTTTCATGGGAGAAAAAGGCCAATTTTCCTGCATAACATTTTATGGACATGTCTCCATGCACATTCAAAGGAAAGCTATTACTATAAAAGAGGATTGCTTTTGATGTCTTAAATATTTCTGTCACTCCGGAGACCTGATTTTATGGTTCCACATTATTTTTGTCTTGCACATTTTTAAGAATACTATATATATGGTCATGAGCCAAACATGTGTTGCCATTGAAACATTATTTTGTTTTGTGGTTAAAATGCATACCATTGCCAAGAACAAAAAATAAAAGCAATCCTGGAGAAAAATGAAAAATGGAGAATAACTCATATTAACATTTAAAGAATTTAGATGCTGTTAGGTTCTTTTTACTGTTATTTCTTAAATTGATTTCTTAAGTAGTTTCCCTGTTCATTTTTAAAGAATAAGCATTTGTGCAAATAGAAAAAAACTGCCCAAGTAGATTTATTAGTTCTTTTAGAGAAGTTCTGGTCATTTTTTTAAAGAGTCATTTGCATAGCTTTGACAGAACTGGAACATATTTTTAGATATACTGTACATTTAATACACATATTTCTAAAGTGAATTTACCATAGTGGTCACAAATGGAGCTCTCTGAGTGGCTGTCAATAAGGTTATTCACATGTTCATATATTTACAAGGTATTATTGACAGTTTTTCTTACTTTTATTTCCAAAATCCATTTGGTAATAAGAACACTATATATGCAATTCATTTTCAAGGGCTGCAACATCACCAAACGATGTATGCTGTGTCTTCCTACTTGATATTAACTTACTTCATTGCTATTCTCCAGTAAGTGCACAAACAGGTAGGTCTCAAATGCTAGTACCACTATTGACTCTGAAGTGCTGTTCTTCGACGGCATGCCTTTATTTCTAAGGAGTCTAGGCACGTACAATTAAAACCCAATTCTTAAAATTAAGTTAACTCTCTTCCTTTTGTTTGTCAAAGGTCCTTTATCTATTAACAAATTACGTATTTATTTCAACAATGAAGAATAAGATTGTTCAGCAAGTAGATATATATTTTTAAGTTGTTAGTAAATACAGGGGAAAGACCTCGGTATTGATACAAAAATTATATTAATAAAATTATTGTAACTTTTTAAAAAGTTGTTACAAACTTGTTTGCACCTTTACTTAATATTAAGATATAGCTACAAAAGTGTTATTGCCAGGATGCTTGGAAATATAACAATATACATGTTTAGCTAATTATGTTACAAAATGTTAAAGCTAATCAAAAAAATTCCAGAAGATTTCTGCTTCTATCTCCCAAGGACAAGCACACATCAAGCAGAAACAAACTTTGTGAACATTTTTAGGAATAAATCTGATTGCGAAAAGAATCCAGGATTGTGTTATTAGAGCAATAAATGTAGAGGTAAAGTGGGCCTATTCGAACCCCTCCTGCCACTTCTTTTCAAAGAAAAAGCTACGTTTAACCCACACAAAGATTTCTAGAACTAGCCTTACTGAAACTGATTTATTTTGTAAACATACTGAAGTCTTTATTCTTTACACTTGGAGAATATTTATGGTGGGAAATGTTTTACAGAAGATACCGGTTACTTCCAAGTAACTCATGTCAACACTTAGAGATGAAAATCTTCGTTGTTTCTCAAATACTTAAGATTGTATATGCTTCTTTCAATATGTATATTTGCAAATATTTTGTAAATGCAAGCCTGATAGTACTGTTATATAACTAGCAAAATGTTTTATGCACAAATATAGTAAGTTCACTTGATGACTGACTAATTATTAACATAAGAAGCCATTAAAGTATAGAATATTTATATTAATGGGGAATTATGGGAGTGAGCAAACCTTCATCCAATGCAGGAAGACAAGAAAATCATCATTCCAAAAATTGTCATGTAGAGTCACCCATTTAGTCTAAAGACTTTCTAAAAGTTATTTAATTTTAAGACTGTTTTGAGAACTAAAAACTCTTACATAAAGAACAGGAGTGCTTGGACTTTTTGAATTTCATTTCCTGTCATACTATAAGAAAAATTAAAAAAAAATCTCAAAAAATGGACTGAATAAAAGAGTTAAAACTTTAAAAGTTATCTGAATCTATTCTTCAATGGCCTTTGTTCCTTTTTTGTGGCAGGAATGTCCCATATTCATTAACAGGCTGCATATTCAGGATGTGAAAGAGTCACCTAGGCCAACCCCAAAGGCATGAAGCCAGTCAAAGAATGACAGCAACCAACCTGAATCTAAACAAGAATGAAAGAGGTGTGTTTTCCCTACGATTTCATGAAAATAAGGAGAAGGATATAAAAGACATTGAAGTGAGCACCCCCCTCACAACCACCCTCTGCTACTCTGCTTAGACAGCAAGCACTCCACAACTCACCCAACCCATCTCTACAAGCAAACTGCCATAGACAGTTAAGAAAAAAAGAGAAGACTCAAGAAGAAATCAACCCAAGACGTCAATGTGGATTGGTGAGAGGAAGTTAACTAAAACACTGCCAAGAGATTAGATTTAAAACTCTTGTAATGATTTTGTTGGATTACTGAAATGCTGCTGTAATTTAAAAGACAAACAGTTTTTCCTATTAATCATCAAATGGTTATACCATGTATTCCTGGAGAAGAAAACGGGTTAAACATTGGTAAACAGAAAAATAATTAGTTTTAATTGGATTTAAGATTCCTAATATAGATTAATTTGTCTGTCTCAAGATAGTTCCTTAAATGCCTTCTTCTAAGTAACTGATTTAAATATTTTCTTTGGTTTCATAGGATATAGTAAAGATAGACAGCCAGTTTATAATTGGTAATTTATTAATAACCAACAAGTCCACTTGCCTTGAAACAAATATACTTTTTTGCTCACCTATAAACATTCATAGTTATCGAAGGCTATATTAAAGAATGGATTCACAATAATTTTAAACAATATACTTTGGTCTTAACTTTACCAAGAGAAAAGAACACCTCAGAGTTGTTCACTCTCAAGGGTGTTAATCTCTGTTAAAAACTCTCCACAGAGAGACGTACAGAAGAGATTATAACGGAAATAAGCAGTTTATCATTTTGGTTTGGTCATTTGTGTTGTTTAAGGTTTTGTTTTCCTTTCTTTAGTAATACAATAGCCATGGTTATTAATTATGATTTTGCTTGGTCTTGATCACACCCAAGCAAGCAGCTCCCAACCAAGATACACACATTTGCAATAACTGCCAAAGATCATGCAAATCTCGAATTGGACTATTCAGTCATATGAGACATTGCAAACCATTTACATGATAGGCTACAATTCCCACCCTCTCTCACAGACAAAAGGATGCCAACTATGATCACAGTGCCTCCTAGCATATGTAAAAGAAACACTGTGACTAAATAATGGGAGCCATATCCCAAACCATAAGTAAGAGCTGGCCTACCATTGCTTGTTTCTCTAAACCAAATGTTTTTAGTCATTTAAAAACAAAATTACTTGGCATCCAACAATTTAAAACCACCCCTTTCAATCTCACATAAAGCTACACTACACAAGATGCATATTTTTTTTATAAAGTACAATTTTTAATGCTATATTTCATATTGAGGAACAGAACAGAATTGAATATAAAAGTCAAAGGCAGGGACATCTTTGGGATGTAATTACCTGAATGACATCAGTAACATCAACAAAATTAGTTCCTGGGAACTTCAGATCTTCCTCCTCATACTGAGTTTGTTCTGGACCCTTATAAAAGGTAGACAAAAACATACATATCTTAAATTAAAAGGTATAACTGTAGAAAAACTTTATACTGAGAATATGATCAAGCTACAGTGACCATCTTGTTGCATACTAATTAGATCTTAAACAACAACCATGCAAATTTTTTTATCCTAACAGTTAGAGGGATTTCTCTATAGACCAGGAAGAGGACTGGATGGTATCCATTAAGCAATTCAGTAAAATGAATGCTAGCACTCCTTGGACTTGGCTGTAGGATTTAATAGAAAATCTCTGCTTCAGAATCTCAGGACAACATTATTTTTATAACTATCAAACTTTTTTTTGAAATACACAAGAGAGGGACAAATGACTGCAAAGCGAATCACTCAGTCTGGAAATACCTAAATTAAGGTTCCCCAAAGCAACCTTAACTCTACTTCCTTGTGCATAATCATTACAAACTAGTTTTTAATTACATGATCACAAGCTCTTTTTTGAGGGTGGGGCGGTTGATTGGGGGAAGGGCAGAACCCTGCCTCATTCAGTGGCAGAATGAGAATGAGAGTTCAGCTGAATGATGAATGAGTTGTGTAGTGAATGAGGCAGGGGTCTGCAGGAACATCACCTCATGCAATGAGGAGGCTGGTTGGTGTGCAGTGAATGAAGCAGACACACACATGCTGAACAGCTAAGGAAAAAAGAAATATTGAACAGTTGCCTCATTCAGTTCACATAGTTCAGCCTGTGCACTGAATGAGGCTGAGGTCCTGTGGAAGAAACAATATGTGATCTTGTCATCATATGCTTCAGTTTGCAACCTTAACATTCTTTGGATAGTTTTCTGCCTGGAATTCACACATATCTTCATTACTTCCTAAATGCTCTATGACAACTCTGAAAAGGGACATGGGCAAAATCATGATTCACAGATCTGAAGGCCAGAAGGGGCCATTGTGATCATCTAGTCTGACCTGCACCATACAGGCCATAGCACCTCACGGAGTAGTTAGCGGCTTGCCTATGTTGCTGTATAAGGGAGCTCAAGGCACCTCCTTACTGCCTTGCACAGCTACCTTGTATTGTCGGTCTGTGCGCAGGGTGGTGAGACGATCCTCAGGGCCACTATTCCCCACCCAAGGCAAGCGGACAGGGAATGGACATAGAGGGTGCTAGGAGTGGGTGAAGCCTTCTCTCCTCCATGTGCCAGCTAATACAGCTGAGCCTGCATGGATGGAGAAGCAATGTGCTACTGGTATGGGCCAACAGCAGATTACTTCCCCTCCGCCGTCCCCAAAAGAGTCACAATTCTTTCCCTATGCTGTTCCTGGGGTGGGCACAGCTATGCACCACTCCTTACTCAGAGATGGAAGGAAATTAACGATCTACACCTTGTTAAAGATTTTGTTTCAAATAAATAAAACCCCACCCATCTTAGAAGTCACAATTTAGTTCTCTTTTCTGTTTACTAGTGGGCCTACTTACTTTAACAAAGAAGGAATAATTAATTACTATCAAATGATCTAATGTAACATTAATGTATTAATATCTACTTATCAAACTAACACCAATTCTTAGGCATTTAGACCAATACCTGAATCAGACTGCTGACAGGAGGAAGTGCTGCTTCAGAGCTTGTAGAAGCCTGGTTTATACTCACACTGTCATTTGAAATACTGTCAATATCTACATTCGGTAATACCTAAAATGGAAAACACCACAAGTCCAAAATCGAAGTCTGTATTAATTAAAATTTCCTCTGTTCAAACTGTTCATAAGAACATGGAATGGCTCCCCATTATCATGCCTGCACCTGATCAGGACTGGATTTTACAGACAGATTTAACATAATAAACAAGCTAAGAACATTCCCCCAAGAGTACTTCCTTCTCTTTTTTTTCTGTTATCTTACTTTTCCTGCTGTCCACTTCATTTGAGGTCTTCAGTTTTGCTATCTATAACAGATTGTTAACACCCTGGGACCTTGTCATCTTGTATGTTTTAATTGCCAAACACATGTACGGTAATTGTACATAATAAAGACACCACCCCAATTCACATCAATTATTCAGAATTCTGTGATTGATTGACTCATGGGTCATTTATGTTGCCTTATAAGCTACTGTGTAGTTAAGTGTACTTTTAAGTAATAAGCAGTAACTATTAATTTTGTAATAGACACATTGTAATAGATGTACAATCTTTGTACAATACAGTTAGAAGAAGAATTAGAGTGGTTATGTTCTTTGCAGTGATAAAGATTTTTCAACAGGTACACAAATGCATCAAAAGGAAATGTAAGTACTAGTTTAAATCTTTGACAAAAGCCTCATCACTTGGAACATTTAAAACTAAACTGGACAAACACCAAAAAAGTGTGTTGATGAGAAAAGTGGTGCACTGGCAGAGGGATAGACTACATGTTCTATATGGGATTTTTTATTTAAATCTCCTACTTCTATTATTCAAAAGTTATATTTAAAGGAGTGAGGGGAGAGAGGGGGAATACTGACAGCATATCTTCTGCTTCAGTTTGATTCTCCAATGAACACAGAATACTGAATTTTTGATAAAACATTCATTTCCATTTCCATGACAACAGACTCATATCACAAACATGGGATTAGGACTTCAGTGGTTGACTGGTCTGAAGGGAAACTGTGTTGCAAGGAACCTCATATTTAAACACAAAATTTAAATGGCAAAGCGTTCAGCCAAGTAAATTGTTATTGTTTTAAATAAATTAAACTCTCATTTTCGAGTTTCCTCCAGCATTAAAGTCTCCCTTGACACAAGGAATATACTTGCAGATATGTTCCTTTTCCAAACAACTCTATTCTGGTTAAATAATAAAAATGATTGTAAAAAAAATTCAAAACAATTAAGCACAGGATGACTGATTTTTGGTTTACACTACACCATATGGTGTTAACATTAAGAGAAAAGGCATCCACCAATGCCAAATCATTCACATAGAATCACAGAACTGTAGGACTGGAAAAGACCACAATAGTCCATCTAATCCAGTCCCCTGCCCTCAAGGCAAGACTAAGTATTAACTAGACCATTCCTGACTGGTGTTTGTCTAACTTGTTCTTAAAAACCTCTGATGACAGAGATTCCACAACCTCCCTGGGCAATTTGTTTC